CCCCTCCCCCGTAGTTCTAATGGCAAAGGTTGAGGGACTTGTGACTCAGGTCACTGGTTCGAGCACTGCATTATGCGAACTAAGCTTGGTATTTAAGTGGAGAAGGCCGATAGAGGGCGGATCAATTATCCCGGAGTTTTTGCGGCTACGATTGTCCTATGGGTTTGTCCCTAGAGGGATTTCTCGGTCATAAAAAATAAAAAATAAAATTGCATTTCGAAATCTTTGAGAATTATGTCAATTTGAACCTTATAGTCCTCTTGTACTTTCATCATAATTGTGCACTAAGAAACCTTAATTTGGCATTTTTCACAAGTTGCAAGAATGAGTTGTGCTTTTGAAATACTAGCCATTTATGCCACAAGTTGAGAATTGCTAAACTATATGGATTCTTATTACACAAAATTTGTGAAAGAAAGAAATACATGTAATAAGATAACTTTGTTCATTGTCTCCTACTGCCACCAAACTTTCCAGCAATGTTGTTCAGACTCTCCGAAATGAGGCCGGATACGTGTCGGATCCTCCAAAAGTAGTGCATTTTTGAAGGATCCGACACGGGTGCGGCAACATTTTCGAGAACATAGCTTTCCAGTAAATGAGGAAATGACCACACAAAAAAAAAGAGGAAAACTTTATCCCCTACAGAGTCCAGGTCTTTCTTGTTCTTCAATAATTACCTTAGAAGCTGACAATGAACAAACTCCAATATCACTTATTGTCTTTCTTGAATCAAACTGTTGGTGAGAATTTTTGCAATGAGCAATTGCTGCTTGAATTGAGTTCTCTATTTCTGAATATGCACTACTGCTTCTCTTAAAGAAATGCATATCTTGAAATTCATTTGAATTGTTTGAGCTTGAAGCTGATGAGGAACCAGAAGACGACGTAAATGAAGAAGTAGAAGAAGAAGAAGATTTAGCTGTTGAAAATCTTTTAATAGCTCCTGAAAATGATCTTCTATGTCGACCTCTGTGATCTTGCTCAACAACATTTTCTTTGTTCATCCCTTTTGAATATGCACCTTTTTGAATTTGTCCAAATGGCTCTTCTTTAGCCATTATTGGTACAGATCCTTTGTCAACGTTTGCTGAATACTCATTTGAACAACTAGATTTAGAAAAGAAAGACTTGACATAAGCGCGGGAGGATTTAAGTTTCGAACCAAACGAAGAATTTTTAATCAGCTTGAGTTTTCGCGTCCAAGACTTTTTCGAATTCTCATCAGCTGGATTAAAGCTATTGGCATGATCTTCTGTTGAGTAATCGAACATGTATTCGTCCGGATTGAGTTCCCGACTAACTTGACAGGAATCAGAGGGAGAAATATTGCAAGATTCAAATGGTGTATTATTTGTAGGAGTATTTGTAGTAGTTGTGAATAAAGGTGTACTAAAAGAAGACTCTTGAAAAATATCAATATTTCTAGTTTTATTAACTGATTTATTGGGATTTTGAAGAAGTTTTTCAACCATTTGTTGTGTACCAAAAGGGAGATGAAGAGGTAGAAGTTTGCCATTGTGGAATAGTTCATCAGCTGGTGAAGTTGTTGTGTCTTTATCTATTGAATTTGGTAACATTTGGAACTCAAATTCTCTAGCTTGAGATGGGGAGTTTTTGAAATGTGATAATATATTGGAATGTGAACTTAATTCCATATCTATATAATCTTCTTCTGCATTGTCACATGAACGACGAATTTCTGCATATTCCATGGTTTTTTTTTTCTATGTTTGTGAGTTGAAATGTAATTAGTTGAGTTTTGAGAGCAAATGCTAAGGAAGAGGACCATTTTAAAGAGGATAGTGGTACAACTTTTTCTTTAAAAAATGGCTGCAAATATTAGGCATATATTTTAAATAAAGTTTAGGACATAAAAGGGGAAAATCGTATTTTGGTCATGTTTATGTTGTTTAACATTTTTCTTTAAAATATTGGACTTTTAACTTCCTCTAATGGCTGATGTAATTTATTAACTTTGTGGGACTCGTAATTAGGGGTGTACAAATCGGACCGAAAAATCGGACCAAACCGAAAAGTCAAACCAAACAGATAAAAAAATTCATTTATGACATATAAATATATAAATTTTATATAAACCGATTTGATTTGGTATTGAATAAAAAATTCGAACTAAACCAACATATAAATATATAAATTTTATATATACATTTATGATTTTATATAGAATTTTTTAAGAAAAATGTCTAAAAATATTTGGGATCTCTTATGGATGTAATATTTAATAGAATATAAAGTGTTCCATTTTTATTTACTTTAAATAATGGATTATGTCATTACTTCCTTATCGAGCGTTATTGAAATGCGTCAATCTCTTTATTCTTTCATATTCATATGTCAGTTCTATTAAATTCTTATATCTTTTTCGAATTTGAAATGGTATTTCATAATATAAAATTAAATAGAACATATCATTATTTAGGTATCATATTGATTTTTATGTTTAGTTATTAAATTCGGTTAATCTTCAAAGCGTACATCAATGAAAAATTATTCGACGACTAAAAAAATAACTATCATGTGTTACTAAGAAAATTCTCCCATAAGAATTTTTCAATAGATCATATGTTTGTTGTTTTTTTTTTTTTTAATTTTTACTAAATATATACTTCGTCAAAGTAATATTGACATAATATTCATAAAACAAAAAAAAACCCGAAAATTTGAAAAATCCGACAAAACCGAACCAATCCAAACCAATATAGTTGGTTTGGTTTGGTTTTGATAAAAACCGGACAAACTCGGTCCATGTTCACCCCTACTCGTAATCTTGAAAATAAGACTCCATAAAATATGGGATTTGTAACTTTTAGAATAAGATTATCTTACATGTTATAACAGGAAAAAGTAACCTGATTGTGCAAAAATTTCTTACACTGTCGGTGTATATTGCTTTAACTCGTCGAATATCTTTTCTCCTTCTCCAAAAGGTATCATTAAACAAGAACAAACCTCAATGAATCGTTGATCAACTTGGAGAATTTTATCATCAAATAGTGTTTAAAATCTAGACAACTAGAGAATTAAATCCCTTAATAAAATACAGTTTTCTGTTGGGCTGGAAACTTTTTCTTACTATTTTCTATTTTCACTTTTTTATTTCGAACACAAGAAGAGCTGGTAGAAAGTTTTTTTTGAGCAAACAGGAAACATATATATTAAACTTACAAAACGTTTGTTACATCATGGCCTAATAGTGTGCCACTTAGGACATATTGATTTCCTAAGCTTGCTAATCTATTGCAAGCATCCATAGATAGGTACTTAACAAAACAACGTTCACTGTCTACATCATACTTAACAAGATTAAAAATAACATTTGATACAAAAACTTTTTTCTTCCTTCCTGGAGTCCTTCCCATCTTGGCCATGGTGTGAGCGACACTGTTGCATTCCCTAAATGTGTGCTGGAGGAGGGTCACCGTCCCTTGGTGCATTAACGACCTGCAAATATTAACAACATTATCAAAAAGTCTATTACCATATTGTATAATTTGAATTGCCTCCGCACAATCTGTCTCTATTTCCAGTGGGAATAAATCCCACTCATGGGCAGTTTTGAGACCTTCATTTATTGCCTTTAGTTCTGCCTCCAGAGATCCCCTAGCTTGAGTGAATTTTGTGAATCCAACAATCCATTGACCATCTATATTACGGAATACTCCCCCTAGAGAACTTTGTCAGTTGTTGTGACTAGCATCAATATTTAGTTTGTACCATCCATTTGGGGGCCTTTGCCACTTGATTTGTAATTGAATCTTTTAATGGGCAACGGGTTATTCTCCGTAAGCAGCTTGAATTCCACAGTTTTTTGAGTAATATTTTTTATGTTTACAGCGTTCCTCAAGTTGTTTTGATTATTAGCAGTTCTGTTAGTCCAAATTTCCCATAGGGCGAAAGGGAGGATATAATTCCAATCAAGAAGGTTGTGTCTTATAGAGAAAATTCGATTTTTTAATTGTGCAATCCAGTGCCCCCTTGTGGGATCATAAAAGGTTACCCCTCCCAAATTGTCCCAAAACGTTTTGTTTACTTTGAAAGTGAAAAAGATATGAGTGATGGTTTCTTCCTCTTTCATATCACATATAGGACACATAGGGTTAATGTTGATTCCAATGCGGGCTAGGTACTTCCTACAAGGTAACCTATTTTGGAGACATTGCCATAAAAATCTTTTTTATCTTATTTAGGCATGATGAAGACCACATCTAATCATAATCCAATTGGTTTTCAACCATTGGTTCAATAAGGTTATAACAACTTTTGCTAGTAAAAGTTCCTTTGGATGAAAGAGACCATATAGCAATATCATTTAAGGGACCCTTTGTACGAATTTTACCCTTAAGGATGTTTTGTTGAATTTCAGAAGAAATATCTATTGATAGTTTTGTAAGATCCCATTTGCTATTGGTATAGATATCTTTGATTTTAAGAATGTGAGTTTCTGGACTAATGGGACCTTCAATTAAACTTCTTAGGTTTGTGGAGTTTGGGATCCATCTTGTATCCCAAATGTTTAGGTTTGAGTTTAGGTGGGGAGACCATGTGATACTTTTATTGCACAATTTTCATCCCTTCATGATGGCCTTCCAGATGGAGGAATGGTTTATTTTAGTGCAACTCCCTCCATATTTGGTAATAATCAGCCTTGCCCAAGGAGAGGTTGCTTGAGTAAGAAGCCTTCAAACTAGACTAGCTAGGTTAGTCAAATTTTTTGTATTTGCACTATGGATGCCCAGTCCCCCTGAAATCTTTGGTTGACAGACTTTTGTCCATTTTACTAGGTGTAGTTTTCTTTTACTCTCATTGGTACCCCAAATAAAGTCCCTCTGAATTTTGTCAATAATTTTTAAGGTCATTTTTGGCAGAATAGTATATTGCATGTAATAGTTACCAGCTTCCACCCGGACAAAAAAGGTGAGCGCTTAGCGAGAATAGAGTTAAGGCACGATTGAGCCAGAGTGATTCTACCGGCTATATTAATGGATCTCATCTTCCAAGAGGCAAGTCTGGATCTCATTTTATCAATTATAAACTGGTAATCAGTTGGCTTTGGATTTTTATTAAGTATTGGAAATCCTAAGTAAGTACCAAAGTTTTCACTTCTCTTAATACCTAATGTATTGATTATATTCTTTGTGATGGCAGGGTTACAGTTTTGGGAGAAAAGAATTTTTGACTTGGAGTGGTTTATGTTTTGACCGGGCAGTGAGAAAAATAGATCTAGACCTGTTTTGATGGCAAGGTATGATTTTTCGTTTGCCTTAGCCATTAGTGTTAGATCATCCGCAAAAAATAAATGGGAGAAGCTAGAGCTTTTTCTTCCTATGGTGATTGAATCCACTTGCAAATATCAACCTGGTTTTCAATATACCTAGATAGCAACTCTAGACAAAGGATGAAAATGTAAGGTGATAGAGGATCACCTTGCCTAATTCCTCTGCTAGGTTCAAAAAAAAGTAGTGGTAGAACCATTAACTAGTATTGCAATAGAGCTTGATGAGATACAGCTGAGAAGTAGGTTAGAGAATTTTGGTGGAAATTTGAAAAACCTAAGGGCACGATACACAAAGGATCATTCTATACGGTCAAAAGCTTTTTCCAAGTCTATTTTTAATATCATATGGCCATGCCTGCCTTTGATTTTCTTTATGTTAGCAATTAATTCTTGGATTATTACAGCATTATTCGAGGCTCGTCTATTTTTCATTAAGCTGGCTTGGAAGGGACTAATGATTTTGTCTAGGAAAGGTTTAAGACGATTTGCCAGGATTTTGGTAATAATTTTGTATATAGTATTACAAAGGCCAATAGGACGAATTTTTTTAAATGTTGTTAGCATTTGGAACTTTAGGAATCAGACAAAAGAATGTTTTATTAATTTCCTTAGGAATTACCGAGCAGGTAGAAAGTAAAAGTCCCTTCAGAAGACGCTTCTGTAACATTTTACATGCACAACACACTTAATCAGTCAAATTTAACTTCTGACAGTACAACAACAACAACAACAACCCAGTAAAATCCCACTAGTGGGATCTGGGGAGGATAGTGTGTATGCAGATCTTACCCCTACCCCGAAGGGATAGGGAGGCTGTTTTCGAAAACCCTCGGCTCAAGAAAACAAAAAAGACAAAAGGAGACAATATTAGTATCACCATAGAAATCATAGGAAAAATAGGAACAACATGAAATCGAGAAGAAAGATGCAAAGGAAAGCAAAAATGATAGCTAGTAAATAGGTCATGCACAAAAAAGCGAAATAGTAAGACAAAACGATAGCTAGTAAAAATATATCTAAGTTGTTTATTTCTCAAACTTTGTTCAATGAGATATCTATCATTTTCCCCTATAAAATAACAAGAATGTGCATGGCACTTTAACTAAAACAGTAATTTACTTTAGACAAAAGCACACACAAATGCTAAATATAATAATACATGGAGCTTACGAAGCCCTTTGCTTTGCCTAGTTTCCTACTTTTACTGGATTCCAGGAGCTCTATATTTAACTTTATCTTCTTGTCTTCTTCAAGTAAAAAACAATATTACTTCTCCTTGGCATATTGTTTCTTTACCTAAATATGTTCACTTGTCTGTGTCTTTTCCAATAAAACTAGTAATTTTATGCACTATGTATGCATATAAAAATTGCACAAAATTAAGAAAAGAACAATAAATAGAATTGTTGACCTTGAACTAATAAACAAAAAAAATACACACGATCCGACATTTTATGGT